AATACTCCCCACTTGCCTGGATGGGTGCAGCTCCAACAATACTCAAGAAGCTTGACACCATCCAGGACAAAGCAGCCCACTTGATTGGCACCACATCCACAAACATCCACTTCCTCTACCACCGACACTCAGCAGCCGCAGTGAGTACCATCTACTAGATGCACTGCAGAAACTCACCAAGGTTCCTCCAACAGCATCTCGCAAATGCTCAACTTAGACTTAGAAAGGAGAAGCAGATATTTGGAGACACCACCAGCTGCACGTTTCCTCTTGATCACACACCACCCTAACTTGGAACTGGCTTTGTTGGAAAAGGATAAGCAATTTAATTTGAAGGTGTGTTCAAGAATATAAGATCTAGCAGCAGGAGTAGGTCATATAGTGTTAAGGGCAAAGATGGATCCCGACCTCTATTTCAGGTTAGTGAATCTTGGTTACGATCTCAAGTAGCTCTCAGCATTAACCTTTCCTGTGCCACTCAATTGTGCAGTTCTCTGAAAGGGTCACTTTCACTCACTTTTTTAAGGTGAGGAGTTTTTTTTTAATTGTCTTGTGGGATGTGGGTGTCACTTGGCTGGGCCAGCATTTATTGTCCGTCCCTAGTTGCCCTTGAGAAGGTGGCGGTGAGCTGTCTTCTTGAACCGCTGCAGTTCAAATTTTGTTTGCACTGTTGGGTGTGTGTCAGCAATATCAGCATTTATTACTCATCTGTAATTTCCCTGAAAGGGGGGATGCACATGCATTGGTAGCCAGACACCTTCCATGTTAAGAACTAACAATGGGACTCAGTGATAGTTTAGGCCAGAGCTAGTAAGCATGCCACATTTCCAGCCCAAAAGTGCCTGAGTGAAGCAACTGGTTTTCTGATTGATTGATGCTAACTTTATAAGGTTTTTAATAAAAATATCAGTCTTATGAGCTGAATTACTAAGTAGGTTTCTCAATTACAAAGAAAGCTCCTTCTTGTAGCTTGGTCCACTGATGACAATGACGATCTTCTTGGAACAGTTTCCAGGTTTTATATTCGAAAAGCATCTTGTTTTACATTCATTGCATGCTCTGGGGCAGCTCCAGTATATCACCTTTATCTTTCCCATCATTAACTCTGGACTGCCCTATCCACTGATAAAACCTTCTCAGGAAGTGAAGGCAATAAACTCCTTTGGAGTGTTAAATCTGAACAAAACAGTCTTCAGTATCGATGAGAAACATTTTAAAATCAAAAAAACACTCATATTGTGTTGCAACAAAATCCCAAGGCACTTTAAAAGAGGGCTCCTTAAACAAATTTTGGCATCAAGCCATTTAAGGAAATATAAGGCCCAGGTGGACAACACTTGGTCAAACAGGTAGGTTTTATTAATCATGTTAAAGGAGGCAAGAGATCAGCTAATGCCGGCCCAGCCTGCAACACCCACATCCAATGACTGATTAAAGAAAAACCTCGGGAATGGGACTTGAAACTTTAGACTTCTGACCAAGGTATTAAAGCTTAACCCACAAAGTTGCAGACAACATAAGGGTGCATTTAGAAAGGGTGGGAGGCTGATCAGTGGAGCTAGCTCAACTCATCCTATCTTGAAGGAGCTTTACTCAAATTGCATGTCTTGAATTGCGATGTCTAACAGTCAAGCAGCTCCAGAAGTCTGTTCCCCAAATTGCAAGGCAACTGACTCTGCTTTGTAAATCAAAACGCGGATTCCTTTGGGGCAGGGGCAGTGTCCCTACGACTAGTCAGAGAGTCTGGTTTGCAGTCCCAGCTGTCCCTGAGGTATGTCAATAACACACCCGAAAAGAATATTGTTTTTTGGCAAATGAAATCATAACGACAAGGAGCAGTTTGCTCTCCTGATTATTTTAATTCCGTTGCTTGTTATATGCTGGACACCATTACACGTGGTTCCTTATCAGTCAGTACAGTCCTGCTACTTCAGGCTAAACAATGTAGAAAGGGCTTGATCTTTATCTAGTAGTAAAGCAATGCTTTGAGTCAAATCACTTGACTGCTCTGCCAGGCCAGAAATGTTTAAAGGCATTTTCTATTTGAACTGTGACTCATAAAAACTACTGTGCACAGTAAGGAATGACAGCAAGAGTGATTGAGATACAGATCCCTGCTTCACCTATTGCTAATAGTGAAGAATGTGCAATTACATCCAACTTATATCTCCCAAGTTTCCGAAACTTTGGACCACAGTGTTTCTTTGGCAAAATACTATTTTATATAAATGTGGTAAAGTAGGAGTTATCAATGGTCATTTAACATGGAGCATAGATTCCACTTTTATCATGCTTTTTGGAATGACAAGTCATTTTGCATTACAATCAGTGTAGTACTTTTGAAGTACTGTTATAATGCAAGAATTACAGAGGCTAATTTGCACTCAGCAAGATCCTACAAACTGCACTGTGATAATGATCAAATAAACTTGTCACCAGGGAGAATCCGAGACAACAAGGTGCAGGGCTGGATGAACACAGCAGGCCAAGCAGCATCATAGGAGCAGAGAGGCTTCCTCCTGCTCTGCTCTAAAGATAGTGCCATGGGGTCTTTTCACATCCTCCAGAGCAGGCAGTTGACTTTGTCACGCAAACAAACAAGCCCTTCAACAGTGCAGCACTCCCTCAGCACAGCACTGGAGTTTCAGCTTTGATTTCTTCATGTTCAAGACCTGAAGTATGACTTGATTCAAGAGGCTCTTAACTGAGACGTGACTGATGCACAAATTTATCAGCAGCTGCAATGACTTCAATATCCTTAGTCAGAGGAGTTACCTTAAAAGGACAGGCCAAATAAACAACTAAACACCATCCATGGCCTCCCACTTCCTCCACTACTACCCAACATACACAATGACACATTACATCAGCTACTCTATTGTAACAGTCGTATGGGAAACTAAGGTCTTACGACGCAGTGACAAGCATTCCCACCTCTGAGCCAGAGGCTCTGGGTTCCCAAGCCAGGGCTGGATGATCAAGGGGAGTGTTTATATAATGCAGTCAAACTGGTTGTGTATGAATTTGTAAATCGTCCCAACACGTGCCAATGGCAGGGGCTAAGGGTGGGAGGGATTCCTCATCAGCCACAAGATGGGAAAAGAATTGCACCCACTACCATCACTACTCAGAGCTACAGACTACAACATGCAGATAAAGTACATGTTGTCACAGCAACTCGGATCTCCTGAGTAAACTGTACCACATCTTTGTATGCCAACTCTCACCAAGTCCTGCTCACCTACCATCCTCCCCTTGCTGAACTGCATTGGTCCATTGTCCACCAACTCCTGGATGTGAATCTTGACTTTCTCGAATGCAAATCCCTTCATGGCCTCAACCCTTCCCTTTCTCTGCATCCTCTTCCAGTCCTGCACAAGTCTCCATAATCTCGGTTCTGCTCAATTCTGGCTTCCTGGGCACCCCGTGATTTTCATTAAACGACCCTCTCCCTCCCCCCAACCCTCCCCCTCCCCACTCTGGGGGCTGTGCCTTCAGCTACCCAAAGCCCTAACTCTGAATCTCCCCCTTTTAATCTCTGTCACTCTCTCACTCTCGCTCTTACACTCCCCTTCACCCCGCCCTTTAAGATGCACCTGAAAACCTACCACTTTGATCAAGTGATAACAAGGTGTAGAGCTGGATGAACACAGCAGGCCAAGCAGCATCAGAGGAGCAGGAAAGCTAACGTTTTGCTGTCCGTCCTCCCTGGACTGACCTATCTCCTCCCTACCTCCCCACCTACACTCACCTTTACTGGCTCCATCCCCGCCTCTTTGACCTGTCTGTCTACTCTCCACCTATCTTCTCCTCTATCCATCTGCTATCCACCTCCCCCTCTCTCCCTACTTATTTCAGAACCCCCTTCCCCTCCCCCATTTCTGAAGACGGGTCTAGGCCCAAAACATCAGCCTTCCTGCTCCTATGATGCTGCTTGGCCTGCTGTGTTCATCCAGCTCTACACCTTGTTTCGGGTGGAGACCCTTCTTCAGAAATGGGGGTGGGGAAGGGGGTTCTGAAATAAATAGGGAGAGAGGGGGAGGCGGATAGAAGATGGATAAAGGAGAAGATAGGTGGAGAGGAGACAGACAGGTCAAAGAGGCGGGGACGGAGCCAGTAAAGGTGAGTGTAGGTGGGGAGGTAGGGAGGGGATAGGTCGGTCAAGTGTTGTCTCCCCTTTCCTCATGCTTCTGTCTTTGGCTCCTTTACAATAACGCATCCTGTGAAAAACCTTGGGATGTTTCTCTTTATTAAAGGTTGCAAATTTTAAAAAAAAAGTGCTGTTCTTGCATTGTGGTTCATTTGACGAGTCTTGCGAAATCGGACCTTCTCGAAGTCTATCATAGGTTCTAATAAAATGATTTTTTTTACGAAAAAAAGTCATGACAGCCTCTGCACAGTCCCCAAATTTGGTGGTAAACAACATCACAGGTATACAGCTGAACCTTTCAGAATTAGATACTGCTTAATTCCAGTTCCACAACTTTCCAAATCACTGCTGGTTGACATCCCTTACTCTGCACCAATGTTTACTTTCTTTTGAATGAATCCAGCCTCTACATTAACAACCCACTGGATGAGTTGCCCGTGAACTGAAAACTCTTGGGGAAACAATCAGTTCTGTTATGTTAACCCTGGGAAGTTAAAGCCACGTTATCCCAGCTGAGCGCGCCAAGACAAACTGAACATCAAATGCACAGTACCGTTTAACTTCACCCAGAAACCGCAACACTCTGTTGAACCAGGTTTAACAGATATAGCGAGTGAGAGAGAGACTTGGTCAGTGTGCATTAAAATCAGACATCTAAACGTAAAACATTCCTGCTCAGTCGGAAACTCACCTGAACCTAAACACACGTGGAGACTGGTACCCAGTGCAACTCAGAAATCTCTCTCCCGCTGCCCCCAAAACTCCCAAAATATATACATATATATATACCCCTCACATCTCCAACTTCTAAACGAATAATTTCTCCAGTCAGGAACCTTAATTTACTTACATTTGCCTCCTTCATAAGGAATTTCGATGATTTCTCTCTCCTTCACAATTATATTTTGTTAACTTAAGTCCGACAGTGCCAGTTCATATTGTCCGGGGCACCCGTTTCTGCAGATTGCAAGATTCGAGCTTATTCTCTCTTTCTGCCTCCGTGTTTATCAAGAAAGAAATTCCAGTCAGTTTCCTTTCCCAGAATCAGCAGACACGCCTGCCTAAAGTGAACTGGCAGCAAGACAGACAGAGTACATGCACCGAGGATACTTTCAGCAGGTTTGACAAAAGAAAACTGGACTTTCAGGATTGAGAGATCAAAGGAGAGAAGTCAGCTCCGCCGGAGATTTGTTTGGCCCCTATTTGCACGGTCTCATTTCAATCCCCGCTCCAGCTCACTCGCAGCGTCTCCTCCTGTGCGACTTTCCAAATTCCTGACCACTTCTCGGTAGCTCCCAGTGTCCAAAGCAGTTTGTAACCTAACGATTTATTCTGGCCTGTTGGACTTTGAATCTGCTTCGGGGTTGGTTCAGCTATCACTCCTTAACGGAAGACAACTGCATAATGAAACCACGTGCATTGACATAGCGCCTTCCAACACCTCCGGGCGTCCCAAAGGGCCTGACTATGAAATATTTAACATTTACATAAAATATTAGTCACCCCCCACTTTACAATGCTGTAAGGAAATGCAGCAGCCCATTGACACATGGCCAGCAAGATCCCATAACCATGTGATGTTCAACCAGGAATAAACGCAGGCCAGGGCACTTGGGAGACTGCCCATCTCTGAAGCACGTTATGGGATCTCTTACAGGGTGCAAAGAAGGCATTTGGAATGTCATGAATGACAGTATAGTTCTCCTCCAGTGGTCCCCAGCATTACAGATACCAGTCTTCATCCAATTCAATTCACTCCCTGTGTTCTCAAGAAATGGTTGCAGACACTGGATACTGCAAAAGCTACGGGCCCTGATAACATTCCGGCAATAGTACTGAAGACTTGTGCTCTGGAACTTGCCGCTTCCCTAGCCAAGCTGTTCCAGTATAGTGTCAACACTGGTATCTACCCAGTAATGTGGAAAATTGCCCAAGTATATCCCGTACACAAAAAGCAGGACAAATCCAACCCGACCAATTACCACCCCATCAGTCGCCTCTCGATCATCAGTAAAGTGATGGAAGGTGTCATCAACAGTGCTATCAAGCAGCACCTGCTCAGCAATAACCTGCTCAGTGACGCCCAGTTTGGGATCTGCCAGGGCCACTCAGCTCCTGACCTCATTACAGCCTTGGTTCAAACATGGACAAAAGAGCTGAATTCCAGAGGGGAGGTGAGGTGGCAGCCCTTGAAATCAAGGCTGCATTCAACTGAGTGTGGCATCAAGGAGCCCTAGCAAAACTGGAATCAATGAGTATCAAGGGACATCGCTCCGGTGGTTAGAGTCATACCTGACACATAGGAAGATGGTCGTGGTTGTGGGAGGTCAGTCACCTCAGCTCCAGGTCATCTCTGCAGGAGTTCCTCAGGGTAGTGGCCTCGGCACAACCATCTTCAGCTGCTTCATCAATTACCTTCCCTCCGTTATAACATCAGAAATGGGGATGTTTGCCGATGATTACACAATGTTCAGCACCATTCGCGACTTTTCATATACTGAAACAGCCCATGTTCAAATGCAACAAGATCTGGACAATATCCAGGCTTGGGCTGACAAGTGGCAAGTGACATTCGAGCCACACAAATACCAGACTATGACCATCGCCAATAAGAGACAATCTAACCACCACCCCTTGACATTCAAGGTGTTGTCATCACTGAATCAACATCCTTGTGGGTTACATTGACAAGAAACTCAACTGGATTCACCACATAAACACAACTACTACAACAGCAGGTCAGAGACTAGGAATATGTGGTGAGTAACTCACCTACTGCCTCCCCAAAGCCTGTCCACCATCTACAAGGCACAAGTCAGGAGTGTGATGGAATACTACTCACTTGCCTGGATGAGTGCAGCCCCAACAACACTCAAGGAGCTTGACACTGTCCAGGACAAAGCAGCCCGCTTGATTGGCACCACATCCACAAGCGTCCACTCTCCACCACCGATGCTCAGTAGCAACAGTGTGTACTATCTACAAGATGCACTGCAGAAATTCACCAAAGATACTCAGTCAGCACCTTCTAAATCCATTACCACTTCCATCCAGAAGGACAAGGGCAGCAGACATATAGGAACACCACCACCTTCAAGTTCCCCTCCAAGCCACTCACCATCCTGACTGTTATCGCCGTTTCTTCACTATCACTGGGTCAAAATCCTGGAATTCCCTCCCTAAGGCATTGTCAAACCACAGCACATGGACTGCAACAGTTCAAGAAGGCAGCTCACCACCACCTTCTCAAGGGCAACAAGGGACAGGCAATAAATGCTGGCCAGCCAGTGACACTCACACCTCATATGTGATTAAATTTAAAAAAAAATGCTCCAAAAATCTTGGCATGTTTGTTTAGTCTTTGGCTGGGGTTTTCCCATTAAGTAGCTGACATTTCATCGGAGGTCAGTCTCATAGGCAGTGCCTCGATTGTAAAATTCTCATTCAAATTCCTCCAAAGCCTCCCCCTTACCTCTATCTATAAACTAATCTGTTGGAGTTCTTTGAGGAGGCAACCCACATTGTGCAGGAAGGGGGAGCCAGTAGGTGTACTGTGCTTAGATTGCCAGAAGGCTTTTGATAAGGTGCCCATGAAAAGTTATCATGGAAAATCATAGCTCATGGTGTCGTAGGTAGCACATAAACATGAAATGAAGATTGGCTAGTGAACAGGAAGCAGAGAGTATGTGTGAGTGGGTCTTTTTCAGGTTGACAGGCTGTAACAAGTGCTGGAATCTGAACTATTTACAATTTATATAAATAACATCAATGAAAGAATGTAAGATCTAGTGGCCAATTTTATGGATGGCAGAGTAAAAGGTAGGAAAGTAAGTTGTTGAAGATGGCACAAGGAAATAATAAAAATTATTGATGGGTTAAGTGAGCGGATAAATGATATATAATGTCAGAAAATGTCCATTTTGGCAATCAGAATAAAAAATAAGAAAATTATCCAAAAGATTAGAGATTGCAGAGCTCTGAGATGCAGAGGAATCTGGGTGTTCTCATATATGAATCACAATAGGTTGGAATGCAGAAAAGCTAAGAGAATTTTATAGTTTATCACAAAGGCAATTGAATACAAAAGTTGTGAGGTTATGCTCCAGGTTAAACAGGCTACTGGTGACACTGCAGCTGGAGTGTGCAGCCACTGTCCACGCATAGTGATCGGCATGGAGTTCTGTTTCCAGAAGTCGATGTCGTGAGCGGACATTGGAGACCTGGGCAGAAGGTCAAAAAAGCAGGATGCCAGGTCCTTCTCACTTCCAAACCCACACTCCACCCTCCCCTGGGTTCCTCTTCCTCTCCTCCATTACCTGAAACCCCTTCTAATCGCCATCACTGACGCATCGCTACAGATCCAGAGCCAGCACACTAGCTACCATCCTCCTGCTCTCTGCTAGGAACAGTCGGTCAAGGTAGCAGTCTAAAGGACAGTGTCAGTGATGCCCACATGTGGATCCATCTCAGGGTGTTGGCTGACAGAGCCCATACACTACATTGAGTTTTACAACATTACAACGATCCACTCTGAGAGCACAAGTTCCACCATATCCCACAGAGTGGTGAGTACAACACTGGACGATATTTCAAACATTCAGTAGAGAGTGAACACAAAAGCACAACATTATTTCCTCTCTAATTAAGGAAATATCCCAAACTTCCCTGTAACCGTTAATATGAGCCATTTGTGAAACATGCCCCTATGCTTAGCTCTCTGATTGAACTGGTCTCAACAAATAACGATGATGTGCACATGAATAAAGTGAATGTGTCAAATTTACAGGTGAAATTTAACTTTGAAGAAAAACCCCCTTTGTGCTCTCAAGTCTGACGTGAAGAGAATTGGTTAGGAAAGTTGTGTCCATGAAGCAGAGTCTCCCTGTCTGATCAGGAGCCTCCTCTGTAGCCCACCTGTAAAGGCAGCACAGTTTCACTTCCCCTGCCACATGATCACACGGGTCTCCTGTGCACATGGTGGTACTTTCAATTGGAACTGTGTGGGAAACGGAGAGCAGAAATGGAGTCTCCTTCCTGTTCCATTGTTTGGAGAAGCTCACCACAAAAAAGTTCTGCTCTATTATTTCTTGAGCACAACATCTTGGCTCAGTCTCTGGTGTGATCCTGTGGGACTGCTGTGCTGTCAGAGGTACCACCTTTCAGATGAAATGTTAAGGTGACACCCCATTTGGACACAAAAGATCCCACAGCATTACTTTGATGAATGGCAAAGGATCTTCCCCTTTTCCTATGCCCATGTTTATCAACCAACCAAAGTTACTTAAAATAAATATCTAGCTTCTATTGTAATGCTATGTGCAGATTGTCTGGCGTATTCCATATTATTACAATACTCACTACAGTATTGCTGAAAAAAAGACACATTTTACAGAAGTTTTGCATCTTGCACACATCAGGGCAATTCACAAAAAATACCAAAGTCAACAGGGAGTGTTTTGTAGTGCACGAGAATGTCGTGCTGATCGGTAGGCAAGTGGACTCTGATTGATAGAAGCAATTTTTTTTTTGACAGTGGATCTTTGTAGATAGTACATGCTGCTGTGATTAAGCATTGGTGGTGAAAGGAGTGTCATGTTTGGATGTGATCCCAGTCAAGCAGACACTTTGATCTGAACGGTATAAAGCTTCTTAAGTGTTCTTGGAACTGCACTTATCCAGCCAGATGGGGAGTATTCCATCACGCTCCTGTCTTGCCATGGAGAATGCACCAGTTAGATGATGACTGACAATTAATTGCCGAGCTTTATTTAAATTTAAAATAAGCAGGTTGATTCAAATTTGACAAGTCATTGCCCTGAGAATGAACCAAAAAATGACTGTCATCTACTTTGTTCAGTTGAATGTACATTTTGACTACAAAGAACAGGGCCCTGTGAGTTCATTTTTGTCATATTTGTTTTCATTTTAATCTTTTGTCAGCAATTCTCAAGTACTGTCCTACTGATTTATTACAGTGACTACGCTCCAAAAGTATTTAATTACCAGTACAGTGCTTTAAGATGCCCAGAGATTGTGAAGGTATCACATAGAGTCACACAGCACGGAAATAGACCCTTCGGTCCAACCAGTCCATGCCGACCATAATCCCCCAAATAGTCTGGTCCCACCTGCATCTGGAATACTGTGTTCAGCACTGGGTACTTATAGGAGGTTGGAAGCATGTTTAATGGACTAATGCTTGGAATGAGTGATTGCCTTAGGAGGAAAGGCTAGACAGGGTCTGTATCCTTCTGTAAGACAAAGAGAAGACTAAATTGAAACAGAAAAGACCAGGAAGATGTTGTTGTTTTATAAATGTAAGCTCTTTCTCA